AACCAGCACTTTGATGACAAACTCCAATAATGCTCTGGATGCAATGCTTGTCTATAGGAAGCACTGGCCTGACTGTGGCTAAGCACGGCAATTGCCACACATGCACTGTAGTTCGGCTATGCTTGCCTTCGAGATTGTGCTGGAACTAGATTATAGGTAATTTAAATGGATTTTTTTTTTTAGCTTTTTTACAGGGGAGGTAAAAAGGGAACACTCTAAAATTAAAAATAAATATTTATTATTAAAAGTTAGAATGTTTCTTTAATATTAATTCCCTGACACATTTTATTCTGCATTAGTAGTTCATACATTGAAATAATTAACGAATATGACACATAGGAAATTCTGTGAAATATCAGTGAAAAACATATTAGAAACAATTTATTTAAAAAGCATCTCTTCGTGAATGGCAACTTTGTGAATGGCAAGGTGTGTTTTCAATGAATCCAGTCATTTTCAGCTTATGCAGTGGACAAACAAAACCTCCAACAAGCTGTACATCCATACCTTCCAACAATGCAGACACAGCAGTCACAATGCCTAGAATGCAGTTGCTAGGCAGAAACTATTTGTGCTGGAGGCATTTAGAGCAGCTGTTTATTAAATATCACATAGCAGAGGGTTCTGAATCCAACTGCTGTGGCAGCAGCTGCTTACTAAACACTATATATGTATAACAGAGGTTCTGTATCCAATTTTCATTCAGAGATAAAGGTCATGGAACACTGTAAAACAGATGGTTGTGTCTATCTGCCACTCAAGGCTTTATCATCGTGTCACAGAGGGTGTGATTTCACCAACTGCCCTGTTCATGGCAACAGTTTACTTGCCTGCCATCACCTGACCGTTTTCATTGTGAACTTCCTTTAACCAACTTATTTTTACTAAAGTACACTAAATTAGGGCACTATACAAGAATTATGAAAAACATAGACAGATTATAGCTGCAATTTAAAGAGAAAACTAGGGTACAGTGCTATAATTAGATTTACACTAGTCCATTCTCAAATAAGTTTGAATGTAATAATATTACAATTATATTAATTATGATTTATATAGTGTCAATATGTTCCGCAGAGCTTTACAATTATAAAATGGGGATATATGGCAAGTAATTTAAATATGGAATATAACAGAGACAAGAGGTGAGGAAGGCCCTGCTCAAATGAGCTTACAGTCTATGAGGAAGGGTTAAATACACACAAGAGAAATAACAGCATGGCAAAGGAATTAAGGATTGATGGATACGATGCCTGTGTTGAAATAAGCTAATAAAAGTGGTGTGTGGATGAACCAAACAGTAGAAGGAGAGTGAGCTGGGCTATGGGGGCGAGGGGTCTGATGAGGGTAGTGAAATGAGAGAAACGTTATCCAGGAAGATGGTGTGCTTTCATAAAGAGTTGTGTTTTCAGTAACTTCTTAAGGGACTGGAGGCTAGAGGAGAATCTGAGGGAATGGGGTAGCAAATTCCAAAGAAAAGGCATATTGTTGATAAAAGTTGGCAATGTTGGAATGAACAGATGTCAGGAGAAGGTAATTTTGCAGAGTAAAGGGAACGAAAAGGGGTGTATTTGTTGAGTAAAGAGGAAATGAGTGAGGAGTGGCGTTAGTAAGGGCTTTGTAGATTAGTATTAAAGGACCACTATAGGCACCCAGACCACTTCAGCTCAATGAAGTGGTCTGGGTGACAGGTCCCTCTAGTTTTAACCCTGCAGCTATAAACATAGCAGTTTCAGAGAAACTGCTATGTTTCACTGAAGGTTAATCCAGCCTCTAGTGGCTGTCTCATTGACAGCCGCTAGAGGCGCTTCCGCGATTCTCACTGTGAAAATCACAGTGAGAAGACCCTGGACGTCCATAGGAAAGCATTGAGAAATGCTTTCCTATGGACTGTTTTAATGTGCGTGCGGCACTTGCCGCACATGCGCATTGCCGCGCATGCGCATTGCGCAATGACGTCGGCAGAGGGAGGAGATTTCCCCAGCACAGAGAGAGCCAGGCGCTGGAGAAAGGTAAGTGTTTAATCCCTTCAGCCCCCTTAGCCAGCGGAAGTGAGACCATAAGGGTGGGGGGACCTAAAGACCCTATAGTGCCAGGAAAACAAGTTTGTTTTCCTGGCACTATAGTGGTCCTTTAACAGTTTGAATTGAATTCTGAAGGCTACACAAAGACAATGTAATGAATGGCAAAGAGGTGAGGTGTGGGAGTAACGGTCAATCAGGAGAATAAGCTTGGTTGCAGTATTCATTACAAACTGAAGAGGCATAATGTGGGTATTTGGAAGGCCGATGAGTAGTGAGTTGCAATAGACAAGTACCTTAGTTGTATCTTGAGTTAGAAAAGGGCGAATGCAAGCAATAGTTTTAAAGGACCACTATAGTGCCAGGAAAACATACTCGTTTTCCTGGCACTATAGTGCCCTGAGGGTGCCCCCACCCTCAGGGTCCCCCTCCCGCCCGGCTCTGGAAGGGGGAAAGGGGTAAAAACTTAGAGAAACTGCTATAATTATGAAAAAATGGGTTAACCCTAGAAGGACCTGGCACCCAGACCACTTCATTAAGCTGAAGTGGTCTGGGTGCCTAGAGTGGTCCTTTAAGGTGGAAGTTACAGAATTTGGAGACAGACTGGATGTGATGAGAAGACCTGAGTCGAAAGTAACACCAAAGCAGCGAGTTTGGAGGGTCAGGGTAATAGGTGTCCCATTGACTTGCAGGGAGATTTATGGAGGGGGACTATTTGAAAGGACACATATGAGAAGTTCAGTTTTAGAAAGATTTAGGCTTTAGAAAATGGGAATAAAATCCAATTAGAGATGGAAGAGAGGCAGTTTGTGACACGTTTCAGGGGAGCAGGATAAAGGTCAGGGAAGGAGAGGTAAATCTGAGTACCATTAGCAAATAGATGGTACTGAAATCCAAATGAGTTAATAAGGTTACAGAGAGAGACAGTGTAGATGGGGAATAAAAGGGGACCAAGAACAGAGCCTTGGGGAACATCAACTGAAACAGACAGCGGGGAGGAGGTGGCACCAGAAGAGACAAAGAATGAGTGTTCAGAAAGATAGGACAAAAACCTGGAACATACAGTGCCACAGAGTCCAAGGTTGTGACATACACTCCAACTTTGGGAAAAATGTATTTGAGATGGGGCAGGGTTAGTGTGGAGATATGTTTGTTTGCATGCCTGCCTGATTGTAAGCCATTCCAGCAAGCCCCATCCCAGGCCTGTCGTAACACAGGCCCAGCTGAAGTACGTAAGGGCACAAAGCTCTTATTTATCTTGCCCTGATATGGGCTCTTTAATTCCTTAAGGACCAAGCTTCTGGAATAAAAGGGAATCATGACATGTCACACATGTCATGTGTCCTTAAGGGGTTACTGATACACTTGTTGGACCTTAGTATAAAATTGGGACTCTTCAGTCAAAGTCAGAGCTATTGGTAAGTATGAACTAGTTCTCTTAATGAGCTCTATTTTTGTTGTCAAGCAGATAATTGTGGACAACACCGGACAACAGCAGCAGAGCAAATACATAAAATTACTGCTTGAAAAGAACATTCCCATCTAAAATATATTTTGTAATCTATTTTGTGACATTTTTTATTTTCACTGCATTCTACGTGCATTTACTTTAACTAAACAGCTAGCATCTGTAATTAATGCAGGTAAAGCTACACATTGTTCATCAGTTTCATTAGTCAGCTGATTAAGCTGTGAGTAATGTTTAGTATGGAGGAAAACTCCTGAGCTAACAAGAAAAAGCTGTTGAGGAAAAATATATATATATCTTAACAGAATCCAAGCTATAAATCAGTGTGCAGAAAATGCAGTTTGTTTTACATTACAGCATATTGCTGCCGTTAGGCAAGATGAGGTAGCTGTTCTAATGTTATGCCTCTAAACAGAGAGTTAAAGGGACTCTCCAGTGCCAGGAAAACAAACCGTTTTCCTGGCACTGCAGGTCCCCTCTCCCTCCCACCTCTCATCCCTGGTTGCTGAAGGGGTCAAAACCCCTTCAGTGACTTACCAGCGGCAGCGAAGATGTCACTCGGCACTGCTTCTTGGACCGTCCACGCTCCTCCCCGTCACCACGTCAGCCGGCGGGGGAGACTGATCACGCCGCCAGCGGGGGAGACCTTAGACTGCGCATTAGACCTCCCCATAGGAATGCTTTCAATGCTTTCCTATGGGGATTTTAGCGACGCTGAAGGTCCTCACATAGCGCTATAATCCCGGAAGTGCCTTCTAGTGGCTGTCTAGTAGACAGCCACTAGAGGAGGAGTTAACCCTGCAAGGTAATTATTGCAGTTTATAAAAACTGCAATAATTACAGTTGCAGGGTTAAGGGTAGTGGGAGATGGCACCCAGACCACTCCAATGGGCAGAAGTGGTCTGGGTGCCTGCAGTGTCCCTTTAAGTGCAAGAATTATTGCTTTTTTAATGGGATCAAAATAACTACAAGTTACCAAAGAAAAAACATTGCTCATCTATCTTGCCGTATGTTTATTTGCTACAATATTCCAATAGACTCTTCCATCCTATTCTACGAATATAAACACATTGTTATTACTTTTCTGAGCTTAATTTCTGTTTTATGAAATTTCAACTATTCAAACAATGTAGAGTGGATTGGTCAGGACTGACATGAAATGTGGCTTAAAGGGATGACATTGATTCATGTAAAAGCCCAAGGCAAAATAACTCAGCTGTCTCCTGTCTCAGTACTATGTATGTTGAAGATGTCTAATTTTAGTGCATGTAACCAAACAAGAATGAAGCTGAAGGGGAGCTTAGTGAATATGAAGAAAATCGTCATGAGACATTCACGCTAAATAAGTGGTGTGATCCTCTAAATTAACTTGGTCCCGAACAATAGACTGGTCCAGATAACTTAAGGTCCACAGATTCAGTGCTTTGACACTTCATAACCACCTGGAAGGGGATTAACATGTGCATTGTGAAACAAAGAATTGTTGCCATCGCCCCATTGAAATTTTGTGGAAGTGTTCATATTGGACAAACTCTGGGAATATATTGTCCCCAGATAGGGGACGTATCAGGTGTTGAACTTATAAGAACAGATGCTACACTTGATCTTGAAGTGAAAAGGGCAAAGAAGCGATCACATGTTTTGTTCTCCTTAATAAGTGTTGGTTCTCAAAAACACCACTAAAATAAAATATCAAATGAAATGGATTATAATAAGTATGCAAACATATATTAGTGTATAAAATAATTCATTGAATATCTGCAGTAAACGGTGACATATAATGACTTGGAAAGAGACATACAGGATTATTAAAAGTACCAATGTCATAGTAAGTATCACTGGCGCTGAGTATGCCCTTAAAGGGGTGAGCCACGATTGTGCCCCAGAATGACATCTTGCCCGGCCGGCAGGACACCCCATGAAAGCTCCATGCATGGTGAGTGCTATGAAACACTTGTGTATGGGCTGAAATTCCCCATAATGCATTATGAGCATAGCACCAACTCATTTAAACATGCACCCATGCTGCACTTTACCCTGGTGCACCCATTACTCCAGGTGGCAGAGCTTACAATGGGGTTGAGGAGAGCAATTAATGATGGGTGAACCATAGATCAACCAAAAACCATGAATGCACAACCATAGCAAAGCAATTATCCTGCTATGTAAAATGGTAATCTTATGTGCAAGCTGAACAGCAATGTCTGACCATTTTTATACAGATACAATTCTTCCATAAAAACAAAACATGCAGCCTTCCCCCACTGATGAATTGATGGGAACCTTATCACGAAATATTAAATAAATAAATAAACTGAAAAACAGAGGGCACCCAGGCAGCTCAATGAAAGCAGTTGCCAAAATTAATTATTTTTTAAGTTTTTTGTTCCTAGTGACAAATATGTCACTCACCTGTGTACTACATAATTTCTTTAAATGGATATTATAGTCACCATAACAACTTGAACTTAATGAAGCAGTTTTGGTGTATAGATCATTCCCCTGCAGTCTCACTGCTCAATTGCCATTTAGGAATTAAATCACTTTCTTTATACAGCCCTAGACACACCTCCCTGCATGTGACTTACACAGTGTTCGTAAATACTTCCTGTAAAAGGTTATCGAATGTTAACACTTACTTTATTGCAAAGTCTGTTACATTTATTTAGAATAGCTTGCTAGATACTGTAGGAGCCTCCAGTATGTGAATAAAGTTCAATTTACAGAGCAGGAGATAAAAGGTTATAAAACAAGTTAACATCTGATTGAAGGTGAAACCATTTTGTTTTCATGCAGGCTGCGTCAGTCACAGCCAGGAGAGGTGAGGTGTGGCTAGGGCTGAACAAACAGAAACAAAAGTGATTTAACTCCTAAATGGCAGAGAATTCAGCAGTGAGACTGGTCTCTCTAATAATTACTCCAAAGCTCCTTTTGACATTTAGTTTTTATTTACCTCCTGTCCATGGGGTAAGAGAAGATGAATACATTTTATTTATTTATTTATATATTTATGTTTTTTTTATATTTGTTTTATAACTGTACCAGCAGGCAGCTTGTGCACTCATGTGTTTATTAAGTTGAGTTAGCAGATTAATTTAGCAGATTTGGAAAAAAATATCCAAATCTGGACATGGTCTATACACAAAAACTGCTTCATTAAGCTAAATTTGTTTTGGTGACTATAGTGTCCCTTTAAAGACAAAAAAAATCATATTTGAACTTAACACCAAAGCTTTACAGGTTAATTTACCAGACTTATTTAAAAAAAAAATGTTTTTTGGTGTAGCAGAATACTTATGGTAAAATAATGAATACTAACTGGCATATACCTGGCACCACTCCAGAATAAAAGTGTTCAAACTGTGACATGAACCACTCCACAGGAAACCATGGCAACTGTGATGCCATTAACTGTTTACTAGATGGCTTAACATTTTCTGAGGTGTAAAAAAAAAAAAAAAGTAAATTTTCTGGCCTAAATCCTGCACCAGATAAAATTAACCCTTTTAGTCCCATTGTGGAGAGTAGCTGACATACTGTTCTCTTCTGGTGTGAATTACATTTGCATTTCATGTTTCAAATAACTTTCACACCAAGACTTTGAAAACACAAATATTGTGGTAATGAAAGGGTTAGTCAACTGAGAAGTTATTTACATTTTTCCCATTTTAAAAGGGCATTTTAACCTCTTAAGGACACATGACGGAACTATTCCGTCATGATTCCCTTTTGTTCCAGAAGTTGTGTCCTTAAGTGGTTAAAATGGCAAGTGCTGATTTGAAATATGATAACAATGCAATCTAGTCACCAACTTGGTTTAGCTCAAATGTACATATTCAGGTTATATGTGATAAAATTCCTTAAACGTCAACATACTGTATGTCAAAGATATGATTTGAATATATTTTCTTGACAGGAGTTAAACAGGGAAAAATTCAAACAGACAATGTGTACAAAAGACAAAAGTTAAAGGGACAATCTTTAGGTTGTTGAAGTGCTTTAGGCATTTACAGCGTATACTCTCTTTCATACCACTTATAAAAATGCCAGTTTCAAGAGAACTTGCATCCTTCCTGCTATTAATCAGACAGCAAGTTCCTTACCCCCCAATGCAAAGTGGAATGCTACAGGAGGAGCAGCACAGCATTAGAAACATGCATGTGCCATGCCTCCCTGTGCTTCTCTCTAAAAAATGCATTCTATTGGCTGGGTAAGTACTGATTATCTCTTGTCAGGTGGAGCAGATTTGCAGCGAGGAGACCAACTCACAAGTGGATTAGGGGTAAGTTGACCCTTTATTAAAGGACCACTATAGTGCCAGGAACACATACTCGTTTTCCTGGCACTATAGTGCTCTGAGGGTGCCGGGGAGCTTTCCTCCTCCTCTCCGCCTCCGATCCTCCTCTTCGGCTGAATGCGCATGCGCGGCAGGAGCAGTGTGCGCATTCAGCCTGTCTCATAGGAAAGCATTCATAATGCTTTCCTATGGACGCTGGTGTCTTCTCACTGTGATTTTCACAGTGAGAAGCACGCGAGCGCCTCTAGCGGCTGTCAGTGAGACAGCCACTAGAGGCTTTGGAGGCTGGATTAACCCATTTATAAACATAGCAGTTTCTCTGAAACTGCTATGTTTATAAAAAATGGGTTAACCCTAGCTGGACCAGGCACCCAGACCACTTCATTATTCTGAAGTGGTCTGGGTGCCTAGAGTGGTCCTTTAAAGAGAAAGGGGTGGTGGCAGAGGGGGTCCAGGAGGTTCGAAAACAACATTCAAGAATTAGAAACATATGTATTTATTTATTACTCTGGAGTGATAATATCACATGGGTAGAATGACCTGACACAGAATCTACCATCAATCAATAAAGTGCTGCAGGAAAAGTTGTCGCTATATAAATGCAAAAATTTGTAATTTTAACAAAAAGCAGGAAATATGAACTATAGAAAGGTTTAACAGATTGTATTTTTGCAGATATAAAGCGGCACTGCCACCCCCTGGGGACTTTGCAGAATTGGCAAAGACCCCTGATGGTGACATTGACTTTGTCCCTGGCGTGGCTAGACATCTTCTTCCAGTGGGTCCTCTTCAGCTCCAGATAGGAGCTGACATCACTGCGCATGCATGAGAGTACAGCATTAAGGTCTATAGAGGATTCACTTGAATTCCTGACAATTCTTGCTATTTAGTGAATATTGAAAAACTCTATTGGTTTCCAATTGCCCACATTTCACTGCTAAAGGAGTAAATCGATTGCATTCTGCAGCATGTACATATTTAAAACAAAGAACTGTTTGCCAAATTAGCGTACGGAAAACTCTGCAGAACATACAGATGTCTCTGTCTTGCTATTTAATAACACAAAATTGTTTGCAGCTCATGCCAAATATTTCTTGTAACTTCACCTACATTGGTTTAAATTGTGTTCCAGAGATCCTTGATAACGTGATAATGCAGCAGTTTTCACATGCTTGTCAAGGTCACATTAACTCTGATTCAGTAGAGCATCACTGTTTAATGTCAATACATTTGCTGCTGGCTATTATGACATATATGTGTGACCTTGAGAAAATACGTGGAGTCAGACCATTTTTGATTAAAATAATTTATACTTTTCAGGAAAAGGCAGAGCATTTTCTATCCAGGGTACGTGCAGAGATGACCTAAAACTGCTGTCGTATGAAGGCTAGCTGGGAGTGATAGGAATTGCAATTCATATGACTGACCGCCTATCCCTGAACAAGAGGAAATATTTTAGATTGTCACTTTTTTTTCCATTGGTCTCTCTAATAATTACTCCAAAGCTCCTTTTGACATTTAGTTTTTATTTACCTCCTGTCCATGGGGTAAGAGAAGATGAATACATTTTATTTATTTATTTTTATATTTATGTTTTTTTTATATTTGTTTTATAACTGTACCAGCAGGCAGCTTGTGCACTCATGTGTTTATTAAGTTGAGTTAGCAGATTAATTTAGCAGATTTGGAAAAAAATATCCAACTTGACTAATTTTATTAGTCTCCGCTATTTCATTCAGCATTTTGTAAGCCTGTTTTTTTAACTCTTTAGTGAACAGACTCCTAAGTCTGTATGACTGACTGACTTAAGGGAGGCATAGCCCTTCCAGACTTTGAAAGGTACTTAGCAGCAGCATATTTCATGCGTGTCTTGATAAGGACAGTGGGGGATAATCACATACCGTGGGTGGCTATGGGGGTGGACAGCATCACAGCATACATACAGGGGCTGCCATGGATCCGAACCTAGCAGGGTTGGCGTTTAGCCACATGTAACCCATTCGTCAAGGCAATGCTCTCATTATGGCATCGACTTCGGAGGAGATTCCACTTATCCCACTCAGGGGAACCCAGACTTTCCGCCGGGCTACATGGCACGTTACAGGATATGCTCCAACAACATTCTTGCCCTTGCATGCTCCACATACATCAAATTCCACACAAGGTGTTAATACTCTCAGAACTCTTTCCAGATGCAGTCAACTCCTTCACTCATTGATCCAAGCACAAGTAAAAAAACAATGCTAGATCTATCCCACAGAAACCATGCCTATCAAGATTCCTAACTTCATTTGAATCTCTTTGCCTTTAGGATCCTCTGGTGCTGAGAGATATTT